CTATCATAACGTTATGAATCCATGTATCTACACTTAGGCATGATCTGATGGTTTGTAGCAGTTATTCCACCAAATGCTGGAGATGGGCATGTATCTGAAGGAAAACTTACTTTATCCAATGGATTAGAAAACAGAAGAGGTTAAAGCATAACAGCGCTTCGGGCACTGGATGTTTCAGAGTGCGTCCTGTCAGCAGATGATTCCCGGGAGTCAGCAGGTTGCCTCTCCTTCGTTCAGTTAGTGATTAAAGTGTTAACCGGAGCCTCCTAGAGGTGTATCCGTGACTAAGGGCGCGCTCCTGTCAGCGCTTGGAGAAAGGAAGGTGGGTAGGTGAATATTCCCGACATGCACTGAGGTGCGGGGAGTGTCCTGGGGTTCCAGCACTCCCAGTTCAAGCAAGGTAGTAACTAAGAGCCCCGTGTTTTCCATGGAGCAGCCGAGGAAGCTGTCAGCCGGGGCCGTGCTGTCATGCCTCTGCCAGGGCTCAGGGAAAGGTGTGTGAAACTCCTCCTTGGATCGCACGCCCAGGTGAGTGCAGTGGAAAGCTGGAGCTGTTCTGCTTGCAGTGTAAGCTGTAGTGGCAGGGGAAAGCAAGGTCCTTCGCAGCCACCCAGAGCTCCAGTCAGATTCCTTTGGGCTAAATCGGGTGCCGGAGGGAAGGAGAAATGCTCACTCAGAAATTCTCGTCAAAGCAGAACCTCCCGCTTAGGGGGTTTGTGAGTCAGCTGAGATTGAAACAGGCGGGTAATAGATGGTGCTGCTGCTCCGTGCGTCCATGGACACAAGACTTCTCTGCCCTGCGTTCAGTGGCTGCTGTGATTTAGAAGGTTGATCGGTGACCTTGTGTGTTCTTTTTGGCGGGTAAAAACGGTCTATGCTAAGCGGCCCAAGACAGAAAGTACCTTTACTTCGTAATAATGAGTTACTTATTGTTTGAAACGTCTGCGAGCCCTGCTTTATCGATGTGTGAGGGGAGGGAACTTGTGGATCTCCTCCGTTGTGACTGGCACATATTCAGATAAACACCACCTTGCTGCTGGTTTTGGCGACCAAATCCCATTGTGAGCCTGCCTGACCAGAGGGTTTATCTGTGATTTGAAATCAGGTAGTGCTGTTACTGCTCCGTACTGAGCAGCTGACTTTTAAAACAAAGTGTGAAGAAGTCTGAAAGACCAAGGAAAAAACAACCCCCTTGTTTTCAGTGGGGAAAACAATTGTTCAGATTAAGTACTTTGTTCTAATTAGAACTTTTGATGGCAGGGACATCTAACTTAAACAAAAAGGAAAAAAAAAGGCAACATGAGGGCTCACAACTAGACTGTGTGACTAGTAAAATTATGCTGCTGATACTGAATTTATCCATGTGAATAAATCCTAAGTTCATCTTTATAGAAGCCAATAATGCTCCAAAATTTTGCTAAATACCAGACACCTGTGAGTTTAGAAAATGACTTGGATGTGCTGTCGTGCCTATGGTGCAAAGCTTCTTGCTGTACAAACTATTCCATGTGTATGGAACTGATAGCTGAGTTAACAGACGGCTGAGCCTTGTGGCTTCCGTACAAGAAAAGGAAAACATTCACCCCGTCCTGGTTTCCTGTGGGTTTGGAAGAGCTTTGGGAAGCACTGGGTCAAAATACCTGGAGATCTTTGTGGAGGTTTGGGGTTTTAGTGTGTCTACACTGGTAGGAGCTCAGCGTGGCACACTGCACGCTCTGCGGTTCCTGTCGTAATTTATGGATGCACCAAAAAGCACATCCAGGCTGTGGCACAAATTAAGGTGCTGCGTTGCTGCTCCTGCTTGGCTCAGTGTGTACCTCAGGTGTCCCTCTCCTTCCAGCCCTCCTCTGCAGCTGCCTCTTTTTCTTTGTGTAAAAATCTGTGTAGCTATTTGCACCTCACTTTGCTGTGTCATTCCTCCACTGTCCTGTCCCTGGGCTGTCCCCTGAAGCAAATGACTTAAAGATCACTGTACTGAATGAAATGGAATGAGTCCTCTCATCTGCCTTTCCACTGACACTTGGATTTTATCTTGGACAAAAAGCATTTCAGGTAAGATATAAAGCTCCAGAGAAAAGTGAAGCTCACTGCCTTTGCGAGATTTGTCTTGTGCCCTGATGGGAGTGTTGAAGGTCTCACAGCTTTGGGATTGTGTAGTGGTCAGTTTTCTTTCCTTTTCCTAGACTTCTCCAATGGCTGCAGGCTTCCTCTAGAGATGCTCATTTTGCATCTGCCGTGCTTCTTATTTACTGCTGGCTTTGCCTTCCTTTTTCTTCCCTTTCAAAGTATTTTAGTCTTCAGTCAGTCTTCCTCCAAGCATTAGATTTCTTCATGATCAAGTCTCAGGTCAGGAGGTTAGTCCAGCCAAGATCCCACTTTCCAGGTCTTACCTGAGGGAATTCTGTGCTTGTAGTCCAGTTTAACGTAATGGTAAAGACACCTGTGTGACACCAACCAAACCAGGAGATGGCTTCGAATAGATGGCACAGCCATATGTTGTCAGAAGAGCTGGAAAACTGGCATGGTTTGGTTAGTTCAGATCCAAGGGAGCAGTGGAAAACATTTCATTTCTCCTATTTGCTTCCTCAAAAGAGCTACAGGGAAGTGACACAGAAAACAGTAAAATACCAGGAGGTGATAGAAAATCCAACAGTTTTGTGGACTTAGGGAGCGCCAGTGCAAATATCCTGACATCTGTGGTGTCGGGTAGTTGTGCTGGGGAAGTCACTGCATGATCTCAATCTGCAGATCTCGGGCTTGGCTAAAAATAAAGGCAAAATGTGCCCATGGGAAGGGTACAGGGAGAAGTGGTTTGTCTCTGGGTGAGCTGGTGGTGTGGAAGTGTTTGGTACAAGGCTGATAAGAGCTGGTCATGTAACTGAAAAAAACCCCGTGCTAGGTTTTTGTGCTGTTGTGCCAACTACAGGAGAGAAGTCTTTGTCCTGGGTATTGGGGCAGCGAGGGACAGACAAGGAAGAGGTGTTGGTTAAGAAGTATTCCTGTCACCACCTACTCTTCCAGCTAACTTTATTTTCAACATTTTAATGGCATCTAGCTGATTTAAGATCTGCGTAGTATGTTTAAGGCAAATAATTTACTAGAAGCCACCCACTGTGTAGCAGAACAGGTTCATCTCCTTGGTTTTCTATGTGTGTAAAGATCACTTCTCTCCATCTGTAGAGATCAGCTTTTCCTTTCAGATGAATCATTTTAAGGACAAATTGTATAGAAAAGAATGCAGCCACAAGCAGTGAGTGGTGCTGGAGCTTGCCAGTGTCACTACTCCCCGGTTAATAAGAGGTGACTTGGTTTTCCACTGCTCCAAACATGTTGTTTCCTGACAGAAAGGAGAAAGCTTAAGTGTGTATGCAGTTATTCAGGTGCCAATGTACATAAACTCCTCTGCATCTGGTAAAATTGGCTTGCAATTACACTGGCACAGGCAGCTGCTTCAGTCAGAGGTCTCAGTAAATCACATGAAATCAGATTTCAAGGTGTGGCCAGTGGTTACTGAACTTATTTCAGAGCCAAAATCCCAGCACTGGTGTACAACAGTGTATTCCTCACACACAAACTGATGTCTGTATAGAAGTCCCTAGGCTTGTTTGGTACAGGCCAAATTTTGTCTTGATGGATGTCACCAAAGGACAAAGGGAGTGCTGTTCCTTTCAGTGAGCTACTGATGGAGCACTGCTAGAAACCCCAGCTGCTCAGGTAAAGCTCATTTTGGTAGTGCACTCTGCTTTTAGAGGTTGTGAAACAACTTCCTGTATGTTTTGTAGGGTGAAGATCATGTTTTTTACATGCAAAACATCCCATTTGTCCACATATGTTTTTTGGAAGCCATTTATCTATGATTATGGAAACTCGGTGACTTCTAAAAAAGCAGCTCAGTAGTGCAGGACACAGAAGCGAGGTGTTTACTCTTTGCCCAGCCAGGATGTATTCCAGCCTGAATGCTTCCTCACTTGGTTCCTGGGAGGCTGCTGGGCATTGGAACTGTAGGCAATCAACTATTTTGCAGATGTCTTTGACCAGGCCCTGTCCAATGCAGGCTGAAATCAGACTCGACTCCATCCCCTGGCAGAAGGGAGATGGACACTGAGTGCTGTGAGGCAAATTCCTCTGTCGTCATTCCCAAATAAGAGAAATAAAAGTGGAATGATAATTTCCAGTGCAGTGTTCAGGGATTTTACTACTTTTCATGTGATCTCTGTGGGGGTTTTTCTTCCCCCCCAGGTGTGTGATGCCACTTCTCAGGCTGAGATGGAGTTTTTTCCAGTGTGGCATCAGTTGGCAGTCTTGAGTCTGTCACGTTACTCTCCTCAGCCTGCCTTCTAATACCTGAGGGGGAAAGAAAGAGCCAGGACTCAGTAATTAAGCTTATTGAGGAATGCATTGTTGGAGTCTCGGGGGTCTGGCTTGTTGCCTGCACAACATGATGGAGTCACGACGTGGAGATCTGTAAATTGTATTGCTACATCCCTGTAATTATAGCCTTGTTTGCTCTTTACTATCCCAGCTGCTTCCTCAGTGTGCTGCAGGACACTGCTGAGGATCAACACTCCTTCTCTTGCCTAGTGTTAGGAACCTGGTGAAGGGTGGATTGCTGAGTGTGGTGTGTTCCAGTGCCCTTGGGCAATGCTCTCTGTCCATAATGGACAAATGGATCCTCACCGGTACAGGGGCTGCTGACTCAGGCTGCTAACGAGTGAGGCATAGTCATGGGGTTGGAGTAGTCCCAAAACTGCTTGAGAAAGTCCTGGTATATGTAGTACTTGGAATTTGGTATATCCTTGGTGGGAATGGCTTATGGCTTTTTTACTAGGAGTGGGAAATGTGTGGGTACTAAGACAAAGTATGAAGTAGTCAACATACAGTGTAGTGAGCCCTTAGCTTGAGTGTCCCAACCCGTTTCACTAAAGCTTTGCTCCTGATTCCTATTTAGTCTCCCCTAGTGGCACGAGTGGATATATTTATTTTTCTAACCTTTTGTTTAGATTCATCTCTTCTGAGTAAATGAAGAAAGTGACTATGAAAGCACAGCATCTTCCTTCTGTTTTCATCAATGAGGAGAAGTTCATAACCAGGTAAATTATTAAAAAAAACCCAAACATTTAATGATCTTGCTGCTTTATTTCACATTAGTCCATATTTATTCCTTAGCAGGGGATCCTGTCCTGTAGAGAGCTGAGCCTGTAGCAGCAGACATTTCTACAACTTAATTTTATTTAACCTGTCTACAGAACAGAGTTGGCCTTTATATGAAATTCAAAGAACAGAGCATTAAACCTTTGGGTCTGTGGGTTTTGTTCATTAAGGAGAACAGCCCTTCTGGAGGATTCTGAAATGAAATTCCAAGTTAGGGAAGAAGACTTTCCTGTCTTGGAAGTCTATTGGAATTGAACATGAGTTCCAGAGTTGAAGCTGAGCCCTGCTTCTCTGTGGCTTGGGGCTTGGCCTGCAGCCCCAGATCTCAGGGTTTCTGTGCAGAAAGACCTTTCAGGCTGCCAGCTCTGTGCTGTGATCAGTGGAAGTGGCTTTTTCACCTACTTTCAGAACCTTGGAATTGCACTCAAACTGTAGTTTGTGGGATGCTTTTTTACTGTTCAGTCTGGCTGGTAGGAATTTTTCCTAATGCTGCCCCAAACTGTGAGCCTCCTGGTGTTTAGCTCCATCCCCTTTTTTCGGGATTAATTTTCCCTTGTTGTCAAGAGCACAGGACCTGGAAGAAGTGCCTCTCTTCCCACTTCCTTTCCATCCCTCTTCCTGTTCCCATGGGAAGAAGCTACCTGTAAACTACCTATAAGCTACCCCAGGGGAATTTCTCCTACTACAGTAGGTATTTATTCCTGAATCCTGATCTTTTTCCATATGGCCTGAGCAGTGCTGTTGATTTCTCCCTATTCAAGGGAGGGTGTCAAGGGCCTTGCCTGGAGCACACAGACAATAAAGACATCCCTTTCTCCTCAGATATTATTCCTTTTATAATGCTGCTGAGTTGGGACCCAGTGCTTTTGTGTCAGAGGTAATTCATCGGTGTGAGCTCCTGCACAATTGGCATACAAAAGCATTTGGAAATGTACCACATGAACCAGTGTCTCTGGGGCTTTATTCTGCCCTAGACTTGCCTGTTTAAGGGAGGAAATGTGGATCGTGGTCAAGACCTTTTTGCATGATAGTTCATGGTTTAAAGTTGGTTTTGCCTTGCATAAAAAGAAATAAGAGTCTGGAGAATTACTGACATTCCATATGCACTCAGGCTTGCTTCCAGTGCCATTCCCAGACTATCATCCCTCATCTAAACCTTGAGACTGCTGTTACATTACTGCTCTTCTAGTTGCATCCTGCAAATCTTGCTGATGGGGCAAGTCTGCTGTTTGGGAATTGCACAATGGCTGGATGAAAAGGCTGACCAAAGCATGTGGGGTTATTTGGCTGGCTGAACTGCTGTGTCTCTGGCATAACTGCCATAAATATTCATGATTAAGAGAGTAGGGCTCAGGGAAGAAGAGGGCACAGGTGAGTTGTCCTGGGTTAGTGTTTCAAGAAAGCAGTGTGGGCTGTGTTGTGGTTTACCACCGGGGCACCTGACCTTGCAGCTCCCTTTTATCTTGCTTTTGCTACTGAAGAAAGTGGTGAATCTGCAGTAAATGTTACGTGAGTTGTTCTGCCAGTTACTTGACTGTGGTCTCCATTAATGGCTGAGTTTGGCTGTTGTCAGGAAGCTGCTGAGAAGAACAGGCTTGCAACACAACAGCTGCTGTTTTTCTGGTAGCCAGGCACTGCAGAGATGGCATCTGTCTCTAGGTTAGGGCAGTAGGAACATGTGTTACAGTAAGACTAGTCCTAGAACTGAGCTGGTCCACATCTTACTCCTTTCTGAAGCTGAAAGAAGGAAAACATTTTCTTCTGTGATGTCTGCACTACAGGAGGACAAACAAGTCAGTGTGAGCTGCTGTTCAGTCTCTCCCTCAGGGCTTTTCTAATGGCTTGAGAGGTTTGTCACTGTTGGTTGCACTAATGCAAGACTGAAACCTGAAAGATGTACTTATATGAACTTCTGTGGAAGGTTATGGCAAATCTTTCTAGACAAGGCAAGAAACTATGTGCAAATCCGGAGAGCCTGCTCTGAGAAAGAGAATCTTACCACACCACTTGCTGCTGTTAGCCTATGATTTTATTTGCCTTTGCAGACAACATGGACTAAGAGTAATAGGCAGGCCTCAGTGTGACCCAAGTCCTTAAGTGTTCACAGTCTGTTTTGAGGGAACTCACCTCCCCAGCTTCTGATCTGGAAAAAGCTTATGAAATAACAGCTGTCAATAACACTATAATACTGAAAGGTATTACTCTGAGAAATATAAAAAGACTTGAGTTTGAAGCCCATGTCAAGCAGGATCTTGAGATCTGCTGTCACATCTGTCAGACAAAACTGACTATCTGCTACTTGCACATTAATCTTGGATTGCATCTGGAGTTTGCCTGTGTATGAGGCCAAGACGTGCTTAATCTTGCTTACCTTGTAGCCAGCATGATTAGAACTGGGCTTATATCTGGTTCATATCCAAGTCTATTAAAACTTGCCCTTTTGGTGGGATGACCTCAGTACAAACCCTCATAGCTCACAAGACACAAAGAACCTGTACTGAGCCATCCCAACAAGATGGAGAGAACGGGTTTTGCCACTTTTATTTCTAGGATTTGAGACCAAAGTGAGTTGAAGTAAATGTTGAAGACACTGGTTTGGAGCCCAGCACTTTGTTGATAAAGCTACTTAAAAATATTTCTTTTTGTGGAATTGCAGTAATGTAAAGTAAATGATTTACATCCAGAGCGTTAGCAGGGAACGCGGTGAACCTTGTGGAGTTTCGTGGTGTAGCCCTTGTCCTCATGTTCCCTGCCAGGTAAAAGCCCAGCTGATCTTTCCCCTCCTCACCATGGGAGAAGGCTCAGTAAGCAACAGGACACTGTTGTGTTTGTTACATGGAGAAGGGAGGGAGGGATGGGTATGCCAGGGAAAGCTTTTCACGTGCACACTCTGAGTGCCCCTCTGTCCCAGGCACAACAGAGAACATGGAAATACCAGGCACTGTTTGCAAACAGTCTTGGTGTTTTCGCTCACCACTGCGAGGCAGGACGTTAAACCATTGTGATTTAGTCATATCAGATGCTTCAAGGGAGTCCATAAGGAAGAGCCTGTGCTCTTCCATGCAGTTGTTCCCCATGGCTGATTACCTCTGCTGGTGGAAATTGCTTGCTTGAATTACAGCCTAAGTAATCTTTGAGTGGTGTGGGGAAGAGTGTTTCATTCTTGCAGGCCCTGAAATACATTTCACCTCATTCTGTTGTTGCTCAGCCCTCCTTAGCTGAGCTGGCTTTTTGTCTGCACAGCTCCTCGCTCGTTGGCAGAGGTTCTCTTCATCTCCATCCGTTTTTCTTTTGAGCAAAGATTTGCTGCAAAGTTGTTATGCTTCAAGCAGAAGGAAGTAGAAATTCTAAGCTTACAGTAGATATTGGGAAATAAGAAGAATATCTGCAAAAATATAAAAAAACACTGTAAATCATCATGCAGGGAAAACAAACTGTAAGCCTAATTAAAGTAACCTGCAATATTGGTGAGTGGGGGTGTTGTTCCTGTTTGCTTCCTTCTCTTGACTGTTAACAGAGGTCCAAAGTACAAGCTATTCTGGGGCAGTGTTATTAAGATCACGTCAGACTGTGACTAATTAATTTCCTGTGTGTATCAGGTGTTTAAAGAAGCAACTTATGAGCAATCCAGTAACCTGCCAAAGTTTTAGTCCCAGAAAATGGTGTATTGATCATTAACAAACCTGTGCAAGGATGCAGTGGGTAGCACAGGTATGGGGTGTCACCCTGCCAAATAACACCTGCATTTTACATTGACAGACATGTTATAAATTATCCTTTCTTTGTGGTCTTTATTCTAGAGAGCAGTTCAGTTTTCTTCTGAAGAATTATAACTCTTACTATTCGGATCAAGAGAATCTACAACTGACATGTAATCAGGTAAGGAATTAGGGGGGAGAAACTCCCATTAATCTGGAGGTACCTGTCTCTGCTCTCTTCTCCTCACAGCAGTGGACTCCTGCACTTACTGTGGTGTTTTTATTATGTGACATGTTCCATCTAATATAATAAACCAGAAGAGATTTCCTAGACGGATCAGGTCAGCTGCAGTTTTGGATGTCTTGGAAATACCTCAAAACTGAGGTTCCACGGCCTCTCTAAGTAACCTCTTCCAGAGCTGTGTCAGCCTCAGAGATTCCATTGTGTTCTTTAGGGGAAATTGATTATTACTTGATTATTTTTATTCAATTGTTATGTAGTACTCCTTATTCTTTTTTTTTCTTGTCTCCAGCGAGAAGGAAACGCACCATTTATTGAAGGAATCCTGTCAATATTTTGGGGAGTGCGACACCCTATCCGATTAAAAATTCAGGATGAGAAGCTGATACCCTCTTTTGTAACCCTGAAGTCAACAGGGAGCGTGGATTTGTTCCCTAGTAAAAGGTAATGTATGAACTTCCCTAAGGAGGAGGCAGGCTAGCATTGCAAGACAGCTCTTGGGGGTGGCTTCGATGGATGTGGCTGGCTGTGTATCCCAGATTCCCCAAAGGCTCTGGTGCCAACTTGCACAGCAGAGCTCTGTGACTGATATGGCCTTTCAACAGCTTCTGCTGGGCTGAAAGGTGTGTTTTTGTAGCATCCTTGTCTGGCTCTCAGGTTGAGGAGCTGGAGGAGGCTGCTCTTGCTTCCGGGAAGTGACTATTCCCATACAAGGACTGGGAAATCGATATATGTGACATATATGTATAAAGAAACCCCAAACAAACTCCACGTGTATCTATGGACACCTGATACTGGGAGCCCCTGAAGGGTCTCATGTTGGTGCACACACTGTGGCATGATAGTAAAAAAAGCTGATAGGTAAGTGCCCTCCTGGCTGCTTCAGGTGTGGAATCATTGCTGTTCAGGTGAAGTTCACACCAGGGAATGAATACTGGCTTTGTGCAAAATCTAGTGTAGAAAACCCTGTTAAAATGCCCACAGACCAGCTACTCCAGCCTGCTGCCAGTGATGTTTTATATCCCAGTGTGTTGTGCTCAGCTGTTGCAGGTTCTCAATGTACTTTTCCTTCGTTTTGAACACTTATTTGCCCAGCCTTAGTTGGTGCATTTGAGCTAAAGCTGAGTCAGGTACAATAGGGAGGCAGAGCCAGTGTTCACCTTGAATGACTCCCCAATAAATTGTGTATTGCAGAGCTTCTTTTCCTAATTACCCATTGTCTTAGATTGTATGTGGTGCACGTTGGAACTCTGGATTTAATTCTGCCATCCTTGCAGCTGGGAAATTCTAGTCAAGTCAGGGACAGGCTTCCTGTCCTGAAATTGAGGGCTGAGGCCTGACGGGTTCTGTGTTTACCTTGCCCAGCTCTGCTGGTGTGGGTGTGTGTGGCCTGCAGGACAGGGGCTGCTCTGGCAGTTGAGGTCATACTTCGCCTTTTAATGCTTAAGAAACTTCTGGCTGGTGGAGATCTGAATCTTAAAGTAAACATTGCCTCATGATCCCAGAAACATGGGGCTGCCCTGACATGCTTTAAGGTATGCAGAGCAGCTTGGCTGTGTGATCTTAAATGAACTTGGTAAATGTGTGGAACACAAGTGAGATCGTTTTTTGGTGTGTTCATGGGAGTTAGCTGAATATTCTTTGGAATATATATATATATATATATAGGAAATGAATTTTTGTTATTGCCTTACAAATTGGTTTATTCTCAGTCAGAGCAGTAACTGGATGAAGACTTTCTGCTGGAGATTTTAGGCAGTGAATTATGGAAATATTGACATAAAAAAAGGTAGATTTTCTAACAGGCTGCATAACCCCTGCTCTCATACAGAACTGGGTAGCATGAGGGGCTGGTATGTAATTTAGTCTTCCATGTCTCCATCTGTATAGCAGACATGTATCCTGTGACTGTAAAAACCACAATACATGTTTTCTGTGTGCCTGCCTGGTACTTACTTTATTGTGATTAATCCAGAACTTTGCTGTAAAATGGATAAATAATTACTGCAAATTACTTAAAGGACACCATTTCTCTGTTCAACAGGTTCTAAATAGGCCTGTGAGATATTTGGGATCCCTCATTATACCATGTTTTAGTAACTGATTTTCTTTTTACTTAAACTAAAATTACCGTGCTGAAGTCTATAGTTGTGTTCTGTAAAGTTCTGTGCAGGGGCAAGAATGCACTACTTGAAGGCTGGCCACAGGATAAACTGAAATCACTGTGTTAATGAGGAGTAATAAATGTTTGATTTTTCAGGGGAATGACTCGCTGGGGAGAATTTGATGACCTGCATCACATTAGTGGGGAGACGCTGAAGTCTGCTGAGGAGCAGCCAGACCTCGAGCAAAGTTAGTGTCGGTGCTCTTATGTTCACAAAAATTTTGGTGTTCTGTGGTTGTGCAAAATGAATTTCACCCATCAGGCCTTCCCTAGCAGTGAGGGGGAATCTTTATGCTCTGTGTGATGTGTTGCAAGCTGGGAAGACACTGATCTGGGGCTGGCTAGGGCTGACATTGTGCAGATGACTCAGTGAACAGCCAGTGCTAATGGGCATCATTCCCAAGGGAACAAAATAGCAAACTGTGGCCACTACAGCCAACCTATTCCTCTTCATTGCATGCCTATGCCTTGCTCTTCTCCTGCTCCCCACCCCAAAAAAAGTTAATAAAAAAATAAATACCTCCACCAAGAGCTTCCTTCCTCTGGGGTTGCTGGCAGGGAGGGGGGAGCAGCTGCACACGGTGCTGATGTGCTTTTGTTCTTCCAGGTTATCCATGTTATGAAAGCCACACGCTGAAGCCCAGGAGTGAGCAGGAGCACGACTGTGCCACCCTGCCCCGGACCAGCAGCGATGCCGCGGCCGTGCGGAAGAGGACCAAGCTCCCCACAGCAGCCAGGACAGAAGGAGAAACTCACAGGTTCTCAATCAATGGCCACTTCTACAACCACGAGGTAGGAATGCTTAGGCTTGGCTTCATCACCTGAGGATGGGCCCCGGGACAGGGAACCCTGTCCAGTGAGCTTTGCCTCATGCTCATGCCCTTGTGTGGCTGTTTTTGTTCCCAGACATCAGTTTTCACTCCGGCTTTTGGATCAGAAACCAAAATAAGAATCAACAGCCACATGAGAACCAGACATGTGATAGAACAGCTGCTTCGCAAGTTTAAGGTAACCTGGCAGGAGCAAGTGTGGCTGTGTTCTGGAAATGTTCATTCCAGTGTGCACTCCAGTGCTGCAGGAAAGGCAGGGAATAACCGGCAGGGGATACTGCATGAAATGGAATGTAAAAGAACCCACACGGGCCATTTGAAACGCATGGGTTGGGTTTGTTTCATCAATGTTTCGTGGCACTTTGAGGCTATAAAAGTTACACCGGGTGTGTGGTGTGCGGTGAAGGGGAAACTGCAGAACCCCTTCCCTGAAGTCCCGCACAGGAGGGCGAACGCTGCTGCGCTTCCATCATTCCCAGTGCGGGCAAAGGCTGGTCACTGCCCGTGGCAGGGCTGCCCTCCAGCGGACATCCCCGGGAATTGCGGTTTGCTTAACAGGGAATTCAATCCCGTGTCTGGGAGATGTGTCCTGTTAGACCTAGGCAGGTGGAAAGGTCCAGAAAGTGAGAGTTGAAAGTACTGCTCAAGGTCAGTGCCGTACTGTCTGAAACTACTTTTTTTTTGCTTGGAGTTACCTTGGAACCATCCTCTGCCAGTATGATTATAGCCAGTCAGAAATACCTTTCCCATTAGTGCTGTATGTTTCTCCAATATCTCTGTTCTGCGTGGCTGCGTAGGCACAATTTTTGTTTTATTTGTGTTAAACGTCCCATTTAAGTTGTCAAGAGACTTGGCTACTGCAGAATTACTTGACGTAGTTAGTGGGACTTGGGAGTGTAATACTGAAAGGAAAACTTGACTTCTAGGAGTAGTAAGGAATGGACTTACAGACTGGGGTGTGAAGTTTTGGAAAAGTTGCAAAGTAAGTGTTCCAAAGCTCTGCTGTTTGCTCAGTGTGCCTGTCAGGCAAGTTGGGCAGGCAGGGATCACAGAGTCTTACCCTGATGAAGATACAAGTAGCAAATCTACATGTAACATGAAAAGGAAGTTGTATGAAGTAGTTCAGGATGCTCCAGGGAAACCAGACAGGAATGATCTGGGCTTGTCTAGGTGTGTTACTGATTGGGGCAATATGGAAGGGTAAGGATTAGGGTTGGCATGGGGACAATGAACATGGCACCATAGCTTTCTATCTTATCTAAATCCAGCATCTTTAAACTCTTCCACAGACAGGATCTCTGTCTCACTTTGATCCAGATCTCTGAGCTGAGACACACAGGGAGTACCTGCTGAGAGGGAAATGCGGGGAAGGTCTGTGAGTCTGAATGGATTTTCTTTTGTTTCACAGATAGAAAACAGCCCCCATGAATTTGCACTTTACATTATCCATGCATCTGGAGGTAAGCCAGGCACTCCTGATCACTTCATCTCTAATCATCCTCTGTGTGTTTGTGTGTGTGTGTGTGGAATGTGTACCTCTGAGTGACAGGGCTCATCCCAGACCTCTGTCCTCATTTGGGCAGTGTGGGTGTGGTGTGGCATTTTGGCTTCTCCAGAGACCCCTCAGATGTGTGTCCTCTGGAGAGGAAAAGCTGAATGATTGTGTTGTGGGCCCTTTCAGCTGACAGTTTTGGATCACAGATGCTGAGTTCAAAGTACTCATTTTTCAGTGGGAAATGTTTACTTCCACAACAGTTTAAGTTCTTTAGGAAAAAGGAGATTTGATCTTTATTAAAGGGAATGCCTGAAAGAGTGGAAGCTAACTGAGGGGGAATGTACCTTAAATGGCAAAATATTAGGGACCTCTTAGGTATCTGGTAATTGCACAGCAGTCAGATATGGTTGATCTGTGTCAAGGAAAAAGGTTCCTGAATGCAGGAGGTACAGAGAGGCCCTGCGGTGTGTTCCGTGTGTCATGACATTCCTTATAAATCCCAGAAAAGAAGCAGCTGAGGAGTGGAGACGTCCCCTTGCTGCACAGGCTGCTGCAGGGGCCCTCGGAGAAGATTGCCAAGTTCTTTCTCATGGATGGGGACGTGGAAGAGATCAGCAGTGACGTGCGTATATCATCAGCTCTGGTAGTTCAGGGAGTTTTTCTCTGTTACCATGAATAGTAGTGCATTTCTTGTCTTCTCCCTGGTAGGTTGCTCAGTACATTCCATTTCATCTTCCCTTTTTGGAATCAATTTTGCATAGAATAAATAAAGAGGAGGAGCAGGAGATTCAACAGACAATAGCAAGGTAAGTGGAAGTAAAATGAGGGGGGTCACTGAGTCCGGGGGAACCTGTGCAATGATGGGCTGGCTCATGAGGAGAGCACATGGATGTAGCAGTGTGCAGGTACAACACTGCTGGAGAGATGGGTGGGATTTATAATCCTTTCCCTGTGCTGTATACCCAGCTGTTCTGTTAAAGATTACGGAATAAATGCTAACTACACACACAGTGGGGTCTTTTCAGAAAGTTAAGACCCTCAGAGTCACTTCAGTTTATTGTGTTTGTTTCTTGAGCCTTTACAAGCCTCAGCTTGTACTTGCTGCTGTGTATTCCACTGGAAAGAATAAATGCAGTACACACTGTGGTACTATTTTGGTTCTGTAGCATTTAAGCCACATTGGTGCCAAATGTCCCTTTAAAACATGTGGTAAATGACAGGAATTGCTGTGACAGTAGCTCAAAATGCCCAATAGGGACAAGCCAGAGAGGCTTCTGTATTTGTGAGCAACTGGGTCCTGAGGCCAACAGCAGTGAGAGGCTGCAGTACCCATGGATCTGTTATTGGATGATGGGCTGATAATCACGTTGAATCAAAGTGTACAGGAGAATATATAAAAAAATAATAAATAACACCTGCCATTTTCTAGTGGGAAACTTTTCATTGCCCTTTGACCAGCTCATCAGAACTTGGGTTGAATCTTTGCAGGATCCTGTTACTGAAATGCGTTCTCCCCCTCCCTCTCAGGTACCTGAAAGAGAAGAGCCTGATACGGCAACACCTTCGCAGTCGAACTGTTAGAAAAACAGAGACCACAGTTTGATGGGAACAGCCCCTTGGGAACAGCCCCCTTGGGAACAGCCCCCTTGGGAACAGCCCCCGTGGGTGTGCGGAGGGGCAGTCGCTGTGCTGCTTGTTTCTGGGGGCTGGGACTGAGGAGCACTTCAAGCTCAGGCTGTGCAGAGGGAGGGAGTTTCTCCTGAGCATTAAACAGCCGAAACTGCCCCCACTGCTGCAGCGCTGGGATGCGGGTTGGAACCACCTAAGGAGATGCACTACATCCCCCAAACAACAGATGCTCAATCTGGCTTGGAACTTAGGGAAAAATATGCCCTGAAAAGCCCAAGGCTTTAAACTCTGCTGATGTACAACCCGTTACCAAGAGGCTGGCATAGAAAAATATTGCAATAACCACTGTGTTAATAGAAAATATGCAAATTAAGTATATGGTTATTAGAGAAATGTGAAATTATACTAGCAGAAAGCTTTTCATAGAGCCAAGTGGCAGAAGGTATTTATGTATTTAAAACAGCAGGTAGGATTTTCACTTAACTCATAGAATATCCATGCGAGATGCCTGAAATCCCACTGGCTTCAGGTTGGTGGATGCTGAACCTGCTTAAGCTTTGAGCTACGGTTGGAAAAACATAATTGGCAGCCTCCCACATACAATTTGCTCAGCTCTTAACCATGAGAGGGTGTTTATCCCTGAAATGCCTTGTGAAATGCAAAAGAAGAACTGTCACTGAACACTGGTGGGTCCTGGAAGGCATCTCAGTAGTTTTTGCTGCTGTAGTAAGTGATTCTGTGGTTCTTCCAGTGTTTTCTGTTTGAAAGGGAATGGAGAAGTGCTCGGTGAGAGCCTGAATGTCACAGCCATGGAGGGTTGGGCTCGTGGCCTCCCCATGGATGCAGTTTGGGTCCAGCCCAGCCCCAGCTAGGGCACAGCAGCCAATGCCAGGCACTGTCTGGTTGAGTTGTGTTGGATATTAAAGCTCAAATTACAGAGATGCAAATAAAATAAATCGTGTGCAGTTGATGTTCCTCCTGCATTAGCCGGTTGTTTTTACCTGGTATCTGTGACTTACCTCAGCTGCCTTTGCCTTGTGCAGGTAACAAACAGTGAGGGAGGAAATGAATGAGCAGAATGTGTTGCCTACAAATCCTGTGGAATAAATCAAATTATAAAACTTTACACTGCCTGAGATCATGGTACTGGGAGGTGAATTCAAAAAATGAAGGTCGATGTGCTGATTGAAACTGCTCAGGCTGGGGCAAGGGGGTACAGTTTATAATCCTACCTAGGAAAATAATTAGGGGCAAGGGAGTACAGAGGGGAGAAATAGAAATAATTCAGCAGTTAAGATGTAGGGATTAAGTAATAGCTGCCTTAGAGCTGCAAATAAAAGTTCCTTGAAGCAGCAGAGTGTGCCCCCAAGTGGAAATGTTGGAATATTAAATATTCGTAATTTCTTGCACAGCCCATATGGAAAAGAGGAAGTGTTTTCAAGCGGGTTCTCCAACCCTCTGTGTACGTCCACACTTCCTAAAATGAGCTATTTTTGCCACCATCTGATGTTCAAGACTTGAATCCTGTTTATTTCCCTTATCCTGCTGAATGGGGACTGAAAACTGCTGGAAGATAACTCTGGAACATGGTACAGACCAGGTGCAGTCAGCCGGGATTTGAGGGTGAGTGAAATCAGGCTGTGACTGTTGTGGGGTTGGTTCTTTGTGAGTGCAGTGCTGTCTAAATGAACCACTTCTGACAAATGCAAGAGCAGGGGAAGAATTTATTTCAGATTATTATGGGACATTCATGGTAACACAGCAATGACACATGGGTGACAGAGGAAGTGGGGGTCACTCTTGCATTTGGGCCCGAAGCCATTAATCACAGAGACAGTCATTAAAAGGCTTATATCTTACCTGAGATCTTACATTTCCCTGCTGACCAGGTGTTTTCAGCAGTCCCTGTCCTGTCCTTTTGGGGACATTTTACTTATTTTTTTCTCTCTCACCTTATTTGGGATGCCAGAGATAATATTTTTCTCTGTTTAAAGGCAACTTTACAACGCTCCCGAGCAGCCCATATTAGTGAGTGCATATGCTGTAGTTCAAGGCCAGTGTTATAAAAATGCAAAAATAATTATTCAGTGATTAAGTTAGAACGGTTACAGGCAGATTTTCTTAATTTGATCTCATTTGCACTTATGCTTTATAAGCTTAAGATTTAAAATGCCTTTGTTTTGGTCTGTGACCATTTGGGGTAATAAAATAACATTGTATACCAGGAGATGGTGGCCACAGTCAAACCCTGAATTTCCATCACTTAACTGATTGTTTTGGTGGAATTACTTAAGGGCATGCATCCCTCCTCTAGATTAATCTGGCTTTCAGACACTTGGTTTGGTTTAAATGCTCCCTGTGCAGTTTGTGTCACTTCCTGTCATCCAGCAAGGACCTTCCCATGGGCTGTGCAGCTCCTTATGCTGACAGCATTTTCTCACTCCTTTTGATAAGTTCTGGACCCTGGAAAAAAGGAAAATCCGTGTGAGCAATAGTGTCAGGAGGGTGCTTGATGTGTTCGTGACACGTGCAGTGAGGTGGCAGCAGCAGGTCCTGTCCTAAAGCCTTGGCAAGGTGGGCACTACACTATGTGCAGAGCACAGATACATTTATCACTGTGCAGTATGCATTTTGCTTTTGCTGGTCAGCTCAGGTGGCCATAGATTTGCTATTTGTTGGAAAAATACTGAAATACAGTTCTGGTTGGAATAGTCGGTAGAATCCTTTTTGCATGTGCTGTTCAGGTGTATCCAGAGGTGGGCATTTTCTATTAATAAAAGAAAATTTTTTATATTTTATCTTCTAAAGCAAAGACTTATGAAAAGAGAGAACAAGGCTCAAGGGTCAAGGATGGTTTGTTAAAGTTCAGTTAAGGAATACAGCAAAGAGAGGGAGGTGAGAAGTAGGGAAAAGCAGATTTACCACAGGGTAAAGAGGAGCCAGAGCAGCTCTGGAGTATGAAGTGGAGTGGGCTGAAACAGCACTGGGAGGGCAAGTGGGAAACAGAGGCAGGGAGATAAACGGGGAAAATGCTTTGTCTGAAAACCTGAATATACCCTTTCTCTCCCTGCTGCCGAGGAACTGTGGCTGGAAACAGAAGCGATACCTCTTTGAGGAAACAGGGCTCAGGGTTGGCCTCTCTGCAGCACCGTTCCCTCATGGCAGTGAAGGCGGCTGTGACGGAGCCCAGCTGCTCCGGGCTGATCTGTGGCTTGTACTTGAGGAGGGTGATGAGCATCCTGCAGGAGAGCAGAGCTCTGGGAAGTGGGAGGGGAGCACGCGCTCACGGAGCTTCCCTCCACCCCAGGCCTGCAAACCCCCGTTCTGGTCCCACCCGCTGCCTTCCCACAGCTTTTCATACTTGTTCACCACCCAGACATGGATTTCTGGCCGGGAGCAAAGTGGTGCCCTGTTCCCCTGTGAAATGAAACATCTGTGCCCGGTTTTGGAGTGTTCCAAAGGAGAAGGTGGGACAGCGGGCAAGGGGAAGGTGAGCAGTGCCAGGGGTAACAGCAAACCAGCATGTCTTACTCCTGCTTCCTGTGCTGTAACTTCTCCTCTTCCGAGGTGCACAGGTCTCCATGGAAAGCAAACAGGCCCGGAGTCAGTGCTAAGGGCACATAAGTCTCATCGATCTCCAGTTTGCCTATGCAAGGCCTCCTGAAGGCATAGGAGCTGCTGCAGCAGCGGCAAACTCCAGGGTTTATGGGATCAGCCAGGTGTCTCCTACAGATTTCCCCAAGCACGAGATCCAGCTTTGCCAGGAGAATGAGAAAAACAATGTTACGTTACTTTTTCATGTTCAAAAATCCCTGAAATGCACGTTGCTCACAGCGAAGTTAGGAAAAGAGGAATTTAAAATAAACCTGGTTTGTCGGATAGAGAACACTTGATATTTTTACTTAATGCTGACTTCTGTCAGTGCAGAACCAGCTGGGATTTTTGCAAATGAACATTTATATGCAGTTTTAGGGACCGGCAGCAGAATTTCTGGCAGTTTCAGCAAAAAGTAGGACCCAGATACCAAAGGGAAGCACTCACGTGTTCCTCGGCACAAGGCAGCAGCTTGTCCTGGCCCAGCTGGCAGCATTTGGAGCCGATGGTTGTCATTTCCTTGGTGAATTTGATCAGCTCTGCCGATGTCAGCTGAGGCATCTTCTTGGTGAAACTCATGAGGAGCCTGAAATGACAGATTTTGTCATGTTGGTGTTTTTGTTTCACCAGGCAGTAGTGAGCAGCCTCTGCCTTCCCTGTGGAATGCTCCAGCCAAGCCCCATGAAACACTCCTTAGTATAAGGACAGGACTAAGCCTGGTGTTTCTAAGTGCAGGTGGGCAGGTGTAAGGCTGCCCTGTTTGTGTGAAGCCAAATATTGCAGTAGTGCCTTTAGCATGGCCTGTGTGAGCTGTGTGGTGTTACCCCAGGACTGTGCCCAGTGGGAGCAGGGTAAGGAAGCGCAGGAAAAAGTAATACTCGTTTTGGAAATAGTAATCTCCTTTCTCCTTGTAAATGTCACAGCTTGTCCTCATGACACTCTGCGTTTCATAAATATGTTTCCTCAGTTCTTCCTCCTGAAAAAAATAAATTAATTTGAGGAGGGGGAATGTGGAATGTCCTGAGTATCTACAGCTGTCTCTCACCTGATATGGACCCCCTGGTTTTAATGCCATTTCTGTCTGAGACCCCTGTAAACTGCCTGAATGTGGTAAAATGTCCACCTCCATTCCCCATGACCTGGAAGGCCGTGTCTGAGACACCAGGCAGCTCCTGACTTCAGGTATTACAAGGCCACTGTCCTGATCTCAGACAATAACCATAAGCATCTTTCCATTTGGGAGAGGGAACTGGCACTGCTCAGGAGCAGGGCCCACAGAAGTGTTAGCTCCATCCGTTTCCCCCCTTCTCCATCTGTCATTGTTAAATTGCTTCACAAATAAAGATTGCACAGGCTCTTTGGTGCTTTTTCCAGTTGGGAATCAGTCAGGCTTTGCGGGATTTGCTGGGATTGTTACAGGAGCTGTGACTCTGGAGGTGGAGCAGGGATATTGGCATTTTAGTCCTGGTGTGACATGCCTGACCCCCTCCATGTGCCGTGAGGAGCCTGAGGACCCAGCAGCACCCACCCCTCTGCTGCGGCAGCCACTGGGAGCCCCGGGCCTGCAGCACTCCCGCAGCAGGTCCTCGTAGCCTTTGCCAATCCTTAAAAGCATCTGGGCAGAAAATTCCGGGTGTCTCCTGGAGTACTCATACAGAAACCTGCAATATGAGGAAGATCAGGAATTAGGGAGAAGCCAAAACAACTGCCCTTGGGTGGGAAGGACAGCAGGAGGATTTCAGGGTGGGTTTGTCCGGTGGAACAGGGAGAATTTCACAGAGGAAGCCCTGTGTTACCTGGCTAAGTGCATGTCTTTTTCCTGGGCAAAACGTTCACATATTCCTTTGTCTTCAATGAACTCCCTGACATGGGGGGACAAGCCTGCAGGTTTGTCATCGTTTTCCACGTTGAGGATGCATTCGCTCCTTTGTAACAGGGGCTTTTCACAGCACTGCTGGATCCGGCTGGACAGGACGTGCTGGCTGCTGCACACGTAGCGCAGGATCTCTTCCTGCACACGAGAAAGGGAAGCTGAAACTCTGAACCCAGCAACAAAAAAAGCATGAAATGCCTGCAGCCACACGACTGTGAAAGGGCTTTACCCTGTCCCTCATGCAGCCCAGCGTGTCCCCGCGGCAGCAGTCCTTGTGCATGTCGGCCACGGCCACCACCAGTTTGTGAACGGTGACAAAGTCAGCTTTGGGGAATTTTTGGCTTATCTGGGCAAGCTTCCTACAAGGAAGGAAAATAGTTACTGTTTATATTCGCAGTGGGAGACTGTGCTCGCTATCATCATTTTTGTGTGGAGAGGTTGTCTAACTTTGATCACAGAGAGGTGTGGTTGGTTCAGACTTTGGGATTAGATTTTGGAATCTCTTGGCAGTTCGTAAGGAAATGGTGATGCTGCCACACACAAATCTGAATTTCTACTCTGTCTTCCTTGTTAGATGCTACTGGTGACCTGCACATAAACAAGAGAGGGCTGGTACTCAGGGTCACTGCAGAGCCACAGCTTTATTTCAAAAAAATAATAAACATGGGGAAGACTCACAGAGCCTTTAAGGTCCTTTCTCCAAACTTCTTCAGGATTCCACAAGTGTGTTCCTGCCTCAGGGAATCTTCTTTTATCAGCTTCACCACCTTTGGTGCCTGGCAGAAAGAAGGTGCAGCCACAAAATTGGAAGAAAATGAAACTGAAACTACAGTGGTGACAGTTTTTAATTTTTTAATAGTGAGAGAAAACAAGCTGAGAGCTGTACAAGTTGCAAGATGTAACTGTTGCACTTGCTGGTTAGTCACCAGCATTTATTAAGTGCTCTCTGAAAAGAAAGCAGAACCCTTCAGACAATAGTTGAGTGCTTTTAGCACAGGGGGTGCTCCAGGGCAGCCTGATTTCAGCTTGTGCTTAACAAGGGGACTTGCAGTATCAGGCTCAGATGTTGAAAAAGAGATGCTGATATATCTGCCTCAGTATCTGTGTAGCTGTAGCAAAGCTGCACATTAATAACCTCAGATTCTGTGGTGGAATACCTGTCTCTGGAAGCATTCCTCCATGTGATGGGAGGGGCCTTCAGCGCTTCCACAGCAGTTGTCCATCATTTCCTCATACTGCAGAGCCACAGAGAGGATTGTTGGGGCATAGAGGAAGGGATGCCTTCTGGAAACTTCATAGATAAAACTGAAACCAGAGCAAAACATCTTTAGTCTCAGGGTAAGTTGATAGCATAATTATAAAAGTAATAAGATTATAAAAGCTACTAAAGTTATTGGTTTCCTGACATAACAAACAGCTGTATCGTGTGGTGTTTATCTTAGAAAATTCTGGTGGGGCCAACGTTTTCCTGGAAATTGAAGTCTCAAATCCTGCCAGTTCTGTCTTAGAGGCAGCACAACTCCTGCCTGGCTTCTGAGGACTAAAGAGAGGCCTTTGGTTTCAGGTGAGTCCTTTGTATAGAATACAATAAATCAGGCCAGACTGATTGTCACTGGGAGCTACAGTCAAAGCAGGAGGTGGCAGAACATGCTTTATAGAACAGCAATTACAGCTGGTTGAATTATGCAAATAATTCACATTAGAAGAAAAATCAGTATGAGAGAGGCAGAACTTTCTGATTGCTGCTGCATTTGCTGTCCCCAGCCCATAGCTGCCACATCCAGGCAGCCAATCTGTGATTTATTACTTACTATCCTGTTAATGGCTGTCCATGCTGTGAATGGTTTCTGCAGGCAGCTTCAGCATCTGGCCTCTCCAAAGGAGAGCTGAACCCTCGTGAGGAGTTTTTCAGGGAGAGGAAGCAGTCGTTTCTTTCAGGATCCTTTTTAGCACAGCAGTCAGCAGACCGGGGAAGGTTTTCCTCCTGGCATATTGTATCGAGGAAAATCCTCTCCTGTGAAAAATTAGAAGTTCACCTTTACAGAGGGGAGAAGGAGAGCCCATGAGCCAAATGTACGTGTGCAAGGAGGTCATGTGTCTCGGTAATGGATTCATGCCTCTGGAAGAACTCGTGCCAGGGCTCTGGAATGACAAGCCATACCTGGAAAGCATAACTGAGCTTACCAGAGGCTTCAGGCAGTCAGGGCTGTCGCTGGCTGCTGCCGCACACCTCCTGGCCAGGGCCGTGACCCCCTCGGCCATCGCGGCCGCTCTGCCGAACGTCCCTCCTGGCACGTACTGGGCAAACAGGATCAGGGCACTGGGGGGGAACACGCAGCGTTAAACCTGTTCCTGGCCACCTACAAACTACTTACAGAGCTCTCTGGTGAGAGGCAGTGAGAGGATTTGTACCACCCCGGTCCCGCGTGGGTGAGGGGTAGGATTAGGGCTCATTCCCAGTGACACGAGGCTGTGCAGTAGCAGCAAATTTGTTTTACCTGCACAACTTACATGGCTTTAAAATTGCTCTCCTGCAGCTGAGAAAATCGTTGGCCAATGCTTGTTTTTTCCTCTGAAAAACAAGATCATTAGAATAAGAAGTGTTCACCAAAAGCTGTATCAGATACCTTTTTTTTGTAGCTCAAGTGTTGCTAGGAGGGAAAATTTACCTTCAATACATTTCCTCTCAAGTTTTCCTTCTATACACTTCCTCTCAGTAATCCCTTCCCCTCCTTCACACTACAGAGATTTTTAAGGAATTAGAAGCAATTCACCTGGGGCTGATCACACCAGATTTATCCAGGTACACTTTTGCTGTACACCTTTGTCCCATAAGAAAATCCCCATGAAAAACTGTGGCCAAGCAAGCCACCAGATAACCACGTGTGCTGAGTCCAGCCAGCAGTGTTAAACAAAAAATAGAGGAAAAATACGAGATGTCCTTACCTATGTCCTGAGAAGTTCTAGGCAGGGCTTTGGCTACTCTAAGGCTCAGCAATAAAATGACATAAATGATTGCTCTCCAGTCCATCCTGTCAGATTTTGGCAGGGGCCTGGGGTGAGTTTGCTTCATCTGTGAAAGGCAGAAAGAATTAAGGGGAGGGTGGTACTTTTATACTCTCCCAGATGATTCCTGGTTAATCAAAACCCTTTTACTGTCAGATTTCACATTAGTCCCTTGAGAATACTCCCACAATAATTAGACATGCAATTATTTGCTCAGGATGATGAACTGACCACCTTGTTGCAGAGGAAGGACCTTGAAGATTTTTTTCCCCCCTGAAATTTAGACAAATAGACATTTTCTACTTATCACACCTGACACAAGAAGTTAAACACTCTGGGCTTTTTATTGTGCACACTGATCTCTACTTAGAGATTGCTTAAAGGTGATTGCTGTGCAGAAAATGACTTTGGAACACAGTAGTGACTGGAAAAATCCCAAGTTCGGCTGTTATCCTGATATTTCTGCATTCCCTCCTTGCTATACAAGCTCTCTCCTGCTCCCAGCTCCCAAGGAGTCATGGAGAAAGGCTGAGTGATGTACCCCCCCCACACAACATTTTTGCAGCATTGATAATTACTATCAAAATGTCTATGAATTTTGGAAGAAAATCAACTCCGAAATTGTAGGATAAAGGGGGAAATTCTGGTTAATACAAGTATTTTACCGATTTTTTTTTTTTAGAAAAAGTATGCTGTAAGCATCAGCAAGATAAAAAGACAAAATTTTGGAGATAGAACAGCTTGAGAGAGCTGCAGTTATTGGTAATACAGAGGTACGTGGGCAAGGTCTGTATTTCCACATATGTGATCGTCACAGAATCCCAGACTGGTTTGGGTTGGAAGGGACCAGCTTGCTCCAAGCCTCGTCCAACCTGGCCTTGGACACTCCCAGGGATGGGGCACCCATTTATATCCTCTAAATTCAATGTCTCCAGCGCCCCTTTGCATGTTCAGCAGGATGGGTAACTGCTTTTCACTTTCCTTGGAAAACCCTTGCCACTTTTGGGATGATAATTGGGCTGTGCACAGTGAACATTCCTTTGCAGGAGGGAAACGTGTGGTGTTTAACTGCAAAGCAGCGTGGTGAGGAGCATTTCCAGGAGAGGCCCTTCCACTTAGTGCGTTCAGTGCAATGAATGTCCTGGAGGCTCTGGAGAAAGTGGTTATTACCCCTAAGAGGGAGGAAGGAATTAGGACTTGATCCTGGGGGGTTCTCAGTATTGGGAGGGGGATCTGCAGCCCAAATTTAAGTGTGAAAGCTTTAAAGGAGTGCTGTTTGTAGGGGCTGCAACGTGTGTTTGTTACCAACACAACACACCCTTTGCTGGGAAGCAAAGCCTGGGTGCCAGCTAATTGTGAGAGCATAAAATGAACCTACAGCATGTGGAATAGGAGAAGTAAGAAATTCCTCAGGTTGAAACCCTTCTCCCCAGCCCCACCCTCCCCTGCACCTCCTAAGCAGAACAGCCCTGCTTTTATCTGGGTTCCAAATCCGACTGCAGCTGAAGTGGACACGGCAGAGTACAAAGGGTGACATTTACAGCCTGTCCTTGGCCTGTGTGGCCCCGGGCTGGGATGGTGCGGCCCAGAGAAGCGGGGCCGGGTGTCCAAACAAGTTATCTCAGCACAGCCCCGGCCCCGTTATCTCAGCACAAATGGGGTGCAGGGACCTGCTGGCTCAGCACGGGTGGGCAGGGCAGGGAATGGCTCTGCCTGCCACAGGGAGCAGGAACTGGAAAAACGTGCAGGTAATTAGGTAGCGCTGAAGTGGTTAAAGAACACTCTGTACTTGTGCAGGTTTGGGTACAGCTGCAGGTGTGCTTAGTCCTCCTCCTTCTCAACTCAGACTCTACAAGGGAAAAAGGAAAGTCAGTCCATCAGAAACCAACCCAGATGGACAAAAAATATCAGCTGTGGAAAGCCACAGCCCAAAAGAAAGCCTGGGAATACAAGGACTATTACTCAGCATGGGCCCAAAAGCTCTTGAGTAGTAATTTTTCCAAACCACGTCAACACTGAGGCTTAAGATGCTACTTTAAGTGCTGCAGCTTGGCTGCAGAGCTCTGTCTTTATGGCAGCTGGAAGACACTGTGACACACGAGGGAAACAGCTGAGTTCCTATGGATTGTAGAAAAGGGGGTGGGATCCAGGGAAATGAATTCTCTGAACACCTGGAGCCCGGACCATCGGATGGAATTTCGCAGCCGATGGACCGAGGGCGCCGCCTGGCGAATTCTGCGCAGTACTGCAGGACGGGCAAGTACCGACGGTTCCCCCAGTAAATGCCACCCAGAATTGCAGGCTGAGTGTCCCGAGGGCAATTCCTGCCGAAATCCCACCGGACCTGTAGGCACAGTATCCTCAAACATTTCTCCCTGATGAAAAGAACCTGGAACTGCAGACACAGTGCCCCCAAACATCTCCCCCTCGCAAATAAAGCCGGGAACTGCAGCCACAGCACGTCTTGAGGGCGTTCCCTGCAGGACCTTTTGGAATTCGCCAGGTGACGCACTCGGTTCGCGCTCCTCCTGCAATTTCGGGGGAATTTCGGTGCTCTGCGCTCCCTTTCCCTGCGCAGTCCCGCCCGTTTCGCCGGGCGGCGCCGCGGACTTAGTTTTTTTCTGAGCTTCAGAAAAGCACTGCCCACCCTCTGCTTTTGAGCCCCAAAAGCACAGCACTTAGGTGGGTTTCTTTTTTGGAGCTGGGACAATGCAGGACCTAACCTGCACTTCAGGGGCTGAAACTGTGGGACTTAACCAGTATTTCAAAGGCTGAAAATGCAGGACTTAACCTGCATTTCAAGGGCTGAAAATGTGGGACTTAGTCTTTTTCGGAGCTTCACAAACATAGGGCTGTGCTTTTGGGACCCAAAATCCTGTTTCAAAACGTGACTGGATCCCTCCCTGAGCAGCCCGGCCCGACCAGAGCCCAGAGCAAAGCGCCGCGGGATCGCGCCGGCCCCGCCCCCGGCACGCCCCCCGGCTCGCGCCAGCCCCGCCCGACCCCAAGAACGCCGCAGGCCCGGCAAACCCCGCTCCCCTTGTCCCGGGAGAGCTCCCGGACGGGACGTGACCGCGGAGCTCTCACCCGCCCTTCCCCGGCCCCAGCAGCGCCTGCCGGGGCTGCGGCGGCGGCAGGAGCCGCGCTGAGGGAGCGGGGGGCGGGGCCGCGCGAGGGGCGGGGCCGGGGTGAGCGGGCAGGGCGGGCGGGGCGGGGCCGCAGGGACAGGCGGGCTGGGATTGGGCGGAGGCGCTCGAGTGCTGATTGGGCAGCGGCTGCGGCCCGCGCTATATAAGGTTGGGCGGGGCAGGTGCGGCTGGTTGTGTGTGAGGGGTGAGGGTGCGGCCCCGCTGCTGCCCGGGCTGCGGAGGTGAGAGCGCCTTGTCCGCTGTGTTTATGGACTAGGGGAGCTGGGGGGCGTTTAGGGGCGCGTTGTGTTGGGCAGCGGGGGCCGGGTAAACCCCTTACCTGCCGGGTGAGCCCGGGGGGAGCCGTGGCAGGGCTGCGGGGCTGTTGCTCTCTGGGTGTCTCAGGGTTTGCCTCGGAATCCCAAAGCCTTTCCCCGTGCAGGGTTATGGGGCGAAGACTGGTCTCACTTAGTTTCTTGGTGCTGCATTAATGCTTTTTACTCGTTCTGTGTCAATTTGCAGCCTCGCTCGTGGTTTCTCCTGGTGCTGGTGGAGTGGAGGTGAGTTGTGCTTCCTGCTGGGAGAGAGAAGGGCCTGGGGAAGCTGCTCCATGAACCACAGCTGTGCCGAGCCTGGGAGTCTGTCCAGGTAAGAGCAGGGCTTATACTGCCAATGAGGAGCTGGGTTTTGCTGCTGGAAGATAGAATATGCACGTGCCTTTAAATGCAAGGACAGGCAGAAGCTGGGAGGGACCCTGAGCAGGTTTGGTGGCACGACAACAGTTTTAAAAGACCTTGAGTGTGGGGGAAGTGTCCAGGAAAAATGATTCCTTTTTTGCAGGGAGGCAGTTTGCAAGGACAGAGGGGTTGCTGTGCTCTCTAGCAAAAATAATCCCCTTGGGATGTACAGGGTGAGGAAATCTTGGCCACGTGTGGGCTGGAGCAAAGGTGTGTGGGTGCCTGTGTGTGACAGCCGTGTGTGTGCAGGAAGGGGGTTCTGGTGCCATTGGAGCTGCCAGGGAGCCAAAAAGGGCACAGCTGTCTGAAAAAGGTGAAAGCTCTGTTGGCCTCTGTTGACACCAGCACCAAAGGAGATGCAAATTTTCCCCCTGTTGGTCGCAGGCTTCACAAAGCTCCCAGGAAAGGAAGTTTTAGATTCCACATCACCTTTATGCTAAAGGTTTCCTTGCTCTCTCAGCAGGATGTTGAGTGCCACCGTGTCCCTGAGGTCACCCTTTCTGCTGTTGGGAGAGCACGAGGTGGATGGAGAGGATCTCCAGGCATCTGCAGGCACAAGGGACTCGTACAACTGTGATTTTCCTACAGCCCTCATAAGGTGGACTTTCAGGATACCATGGGTAATGTGCCAGCTCTCCTGCTGGAGTTTTTGTCTTGTGCTATATTTGAACATAAAGAGTAAAACTAAAGTCAGGTCTGTTCTGGAGTATGTTACACCTGTGCAAAGCTCCTTCCCTCTGTTTATTTTCTGTTCTGGAAAGCACAGTTTGGGATTCCTGGGCACTTCCTATGAAATGATTCCATGAAAATAATTTTGTACTGAAAGGAGCTGTCTGTTTGAGATCAGATGTTTTTTCACTCAGTAAGCTCTTAAAATACCTCACAGTGTGTAGGAATGCCTGGCTTCTAAAACTCACCAGCTGAGTCTTAGAGGCTTCTTTGAAGAGCTGTTTTCAGGCAGCAGAATTGGTCCCCCAGCAGGGACTCTGTGCCTGCTCTCCCGTGGCTCCAAGGGATCCAGTGGGGCAGCAGGCAGGAACCCCCTTCTTTTCTGCAGGCCAGTGACTGTGTGTGAAGGGACAGTGACTGGTACCAACTCCACCTCCCACTTCTTGTCACAGATCGATCTGAGGCACTTGTCAGGTCAATACTTGCTCTTTTCAGGAGCACCAGACTTGTGTTCAGTGTCCTCATTGTAGCCCACGAATCCCTCTAGGTGTTAAATCAGCCTCCCTGTCTTGATTCTTCTAATGAAGAATTAGCATTAGTGTCAAACCATGTTAATGAGATATACAAATTATCCTGGGAGTGCCTATGTTACAAGCTCAGTTTGGCTGTGTTGCTGTCCTGAAAAGTGAGGAACAGTGACTGTCAGTTCTCCTTATGCTGCTCTTAAACACCATCCCTACATTCCCAGGAGAACTCTGGAGGGAGACAGAGAACATTTAAAACATGAAACCTTGGCATCGCAATTGTTATTTCTAAGTATGTGTTTCTATCTGATACAGTTGTTGGGTGATTACTCGGGAGAGTGTTTTGTACCTCAGGCAGTAAGTCTGGTGTATCAGCCTCCTCGTGAGCAGGAACCAGCACGTTCCCAAAAGGAATGTTCTGTCAGACTCTGTCAAACAGCACGGAGGTGAGCAGGAGTGGTGCTTGTGCACAGCTGAAGTGAAGCACACTTGGATTCGGGCTGCTCTGGGAGATCTTTGTTGAGACGGGTATTTCTGCACAGCTTCTTGTGACATATCAAATTTAGAGATGAGCTGATAAAGGAAGTGACACTGTTCTGTCATCACTGAGCTTTTGAGGATTTCAAACCCATTACTATTAAATCCGGGGGCTCGTTCCCGGGTCCTGCCCATGCCCGCTGCGGGTTCCGGCCGGTGCCGCCTCTCGACCGGCGGGCGGGGTGCGGATCCCACGGCCGGAGGACCGAGGCGGGACGGGGGCTGGGATCGGGACCGCCGCGGGCGGGAGGAGCCGCTCCGGGGCGGGCGCTGGTGCCGAGTCCGGCGCTGCCGCTCCCGCTGCGGCCATGGCGGCGCTGGGATCCCACCAGGGAACGGGACACGGTTCCGCTCGGGCCGGGGTAGCCGAGGCTGTGACGGGGCCCGAGGTGCCGGTGCCGAGGCTGAACCGGGCGGGGCGCGGAGCCCTCCCCGGAGCGGCCCCGGGAGCCCCCGGACCCGCGGCGCCGTCTGGCGGACACGGCCGGTATTGCAGGGCCTGTACCGCAGCACCAGGGCTACGGCACGGCGGGGACCGCCCGCACCCCACGGGGGGTGCAGAGCCCCCCGGTCGGTCACCCCTGAGGCCACCACACCCTTCCCCAGGTGAGAACATCGCCCGCCTCCCCCTTCCCCGTAGTGTTCCTGCCTTGCCATGCTCCTTGGAAAGGAGCAGAGCTGGAGGAGGCAGCGCAGGAAAGGACACCTGGTCACACCGGGTCAGGTTTATGTTCCAGCTTTATTCTCTGTCGGAGAGGCCCTGCTGTTCTCCTGGCTGGCACAGAGCCCCCCCATGCCAGGTGGGGATGGTGTCCCCATGCTGCCTGGCCCCACAGGGCTGGGCCCCCGCCCAGGGACAAGGTGGGAGGTGCTGGATGTCCTGGGCACTCTCAGGGCAGTGCAGAGCTGGAGCTTTGAGCACCATGAATGGAAAAGGCCAGCGGAGACCTGCGGCGAGGCTGCTCCACAAGGGGCAGAGGGGAGTGACAGCCACTCCTCCTCCTCCCAGTGTATAAAAATACCAGTGTGACTTTATTTGGCTTTTCAGTTTTGGGTTATGTTTGTTCTGCAGTTTATAAAAAGCTTTTCCCACAGTGTGTGCTCTGTTACACTTCTGTGCCGTCATGCAAATTGCTGTGGACTTTGACTTCCAAGTTCACCTGCTTCACCTTCCTGCCCTTCCCCTGGCAGACGCTGCCATTTTCCCTCAGAGGATGAACATTCCTCACGGTGCAGCCCATGGCCCTCGGGACACCCCTGGGCAGCTCCACCTTGGTGTTCAAGGGGTGCTCCTCGGGGGCACCCCTGGCAGCCTCCCGCTTCCTCCGCCCCTTCCGACACTTCCTGGCGAGGAGGCAAACCCCGCACAGCACCAGCAGCAGCAGGGTGAGGGCGGCGAAGGCGCTCCCCAGGGAAGCGCCCGTTTGGGACAAGGAGGCTGCGACGGCGGCTTCCTCCCTCTCCAAGACCAGCGACTTCATGTTGGTGCCGTTCTTGACCTGGTCGCCCTCGTTGTCATAGACCAAGGAGTCGTCCAGCACCGTCCTGCTGGCGCCTTGGGCCAGGTCCCTGCGGCTGCGCTGCCAGCGGCGAGCGAGGGACCGCTGGACACGGGGCCCTGCCGTGCTCTCCGGGCCAATCACGTAGATCACCTGAAGGTACCACTGGTGTCCAGCTTCCACCTTTCCAAAGTGACACAGGTCACGTTAACAGTGAGTTTAATATCGAGTGATCAAGAGCTGGCGCATTTTGTGCTCTGTTTCTGGCAAAGCAGCTCGGTGGGTTTTTTCTGAGAGCCTGCACTAATGCTGATCACCAAGTGAGGTGTTCAGCCTTTGCCAGCAGCAACAATTCATTTAGGGTCATGAATAATACGTTTTTAAAGAGCTTTTTCCTGAGTGCTTTAGGGGGAGGAAAAAAATAAAATCTTAAAATTTTAGATTATATTTAGAATAACCACCTAATCTTCATTTTCTGTGTCAGAGCTGGCTTCTGAAGGACCAGAGCCTAAAATTTGCAAAGCATTTGGGAGATCCTGGACAGAGAAGTTACTTTTGGACTACCAGAAGCACATACCTTGTAGAGAGCATCCACCTTGAGAGTAAATCCATCGACTCCGGGCATGCTGCTTACCGAGTGGAACTCGGACAGCTCGGAGGCAAAGTGGGCATCAAAAGGCACATCGTGGAAGTACTTATCTGTCACTTCAGGTTGGTTTCGGTCCTGGAAATCAGAGAGGTGTTATGAAGAGGGGGGCAGGCTCTCTTGCTTTCCAAAGGGAGGCCAGGGCACTACACACTCCTCACACCCCTTTGCAGTCAGGATCTGTTTGCTGTTGGAGAAGCTCCCAAAAACGGAGCAGAAGCAGAGGACTCACCAAGAGGAGGAATCGATGTTTCAGGTACTTGTTGGGTTGGATGCAGCCATACTGGGGCCCCTCGTTATAGACGGTGCCCGTGGGGTCGAAGAAAGGCACGTAGCCATCCTTGCCCGTGCACAGGTAGACTTTTTCCAGCTGCAGCTTGTATGCGGCATTGAGGTTTTGTTCCGGGTGCCAGAGCACGCGGCCATACAGGACTTGCCCTGGGGAGGTGGGGAAGAAAGATGGACAGGTGAAATTCTCCAACAAGAGAACCACTGCTTAGAGACTAACACGCCGAACCACACGTGGCTCTGGGTTTGGAAAGGTTTGGATGGTTTGGGAAGGGTTTGGGGTGTAAGGGTGACAAAAACACATTCTTTTCTTACAGGGCTTTAACATGCTCAAAATGTCATTTGTTGCTGCAAAAGAGGCAAAGCCAAAATAAATCCTACCCTTGGAAAAAGCCCCTTTGTAATCCATTTCTGCCAGGGACATTTCGGATTTGGTGGGGTCCATCAGAAACACCTTCTCGTTGTTACAGAGCTGGAACTCTGTGTTTAGGGAGTAGACAACGGGAACTGGGCGGTTTGTCTGCTGGAAGGCGATGGGGATCAAAAATCTGGAATTGGGACAAGGAAGGAAACCATGGAGAGGTGAGGTTTGGACACGTGCACCCCAAGGACAGTGATCTCCCACCACCCTGAGCACAGACACTCTTGGTTGCAGGGAGGCTCTTAAGCAAAGGAGGAGGTTCCATCCCTCCCCTTTTCCCTTCCTGCTGCTGTTGTGCTGTCCCAGGCACCTGCTGAGACCCCAGAAACACCCCAAATGGGCTGACATTGTCCTGCTGCCGTGGGGATGGGGCCTCCTTACCGCTCTGGAGCATGAGCCGTGCAGGGCAGGGGCTTGTCTCCAGGCTCTGCCCATGGCTGTGTGGGCTGCACAGTGCAGGGGATTAGGAAGATGGTGTACTCTCCGGAGTAGTCCTTCCTGGGAACAGACAGAAGACCCTGTGGTCATCAAATGGGGCCCTGTGTTCACCCAGAGCAGCACCTCTTCCTGGCCCCAGAAATGTCTACCCAGTAGTTGCCTGAGGGACAAAAGGGACCTGGGGTGTTTAATGTGACCCTCTGAAATACATGGTCACCTCTGGGATCTACCTACCCATGGCTTCACTGCTGGAAAAACACCTTTATAAGGAGCTGAGTTGATTTTTCCCCTCAGCAGAGGATTTCCAGCCCTGACAGCAGCTCCCCGTGCACTCCAGCTCTCAGCCCTTGACCAAGGCTGGCTCCTGAGCATTCCACACTATTGCTGGGCTGCTGGAAGGGCACCATGGAGAATATGATGCCGTGGGAAGCTTCTGAAGGGGACTGAACCCAAAATCCTCACCTGTTGTAGGAGCTGGTTGCTCTCCAGAGCTGGTAGGGGGAGTCGAAAGTCTGAGCGCTCCACAGCAGCTGCAGGTCAAATTCGATCCCTCCCAGGTGCTCTGGAGTCATTAAAAAAGACCTGACATCTGGCAGGCTGTGGTGCTCCATGACAAAAAGCCCTGGAGGGGGAGGACAGGGAGGTGACAGGTAAGACAGAGCACGGAGAGGCCCCGTGCCGTGCACCTCAGC